CCAAACAACGGAACGAGATGTGAAAATCAACGGGAAGAGGGAAGAATTTCCGCGTGCACGTACTTACTATATGCAGGAAACAAAGGTAGCGGCACGCGAGCGAACGAGAGAGACGAGAGAGAGAGAGAGAGAGAGAGAGAGAGAGAGCGATCTCAGAGAGACGAGCGCAGCTCAAGAATATATAAGGTGAAAGGCAACGAAAGTACACATACACGCATATACATGTATATACGAGGAAAGAAAAAATAAGATTGGAACGAGATGATGCCTTACGAAAGAAAAGTTGTCTAGCACGACGCCAACTGTTTTCGAACGATTCCGTTCAATTGTCGATGAATACTACCACTTTTTTCGATGCACCGGTATCATCGATACACGAAACACGCGTGATTCGAATCGAAAGTTACGACGAACGTGACTTGACTAAGCGTACAGATAGCACAATCCCTTGCTGTATAGTGTAAAGTGGAAAGTGGAAAGTGGAAAGTGGGGAAAGGGACTCTCACACACAAGTGGACAGGCATATCTGCTTCGTGGGCAAAACCTTGTCTTACGAATTACTACCGAATGTGATATAGAATAAGAAAAATGCATATGAGATATTGTCCTGACATCTTCAATCTTTCAGGGAAACGAGAACGCTGCTCAAATTTTCGAATCGGGCTATCGATATTTTTAGCCGGATATTGAAAATCAAATCAGGGTTGATTCCTACTATGGACTGTCTGTCTATCTGTCTGTACAGTACGTGTATCTACACATACGTACGTACGTACGTACGTACGTACATATGCATATGCAAGTATGTGCGCATGTACGCATACATGTGTGTACGTAGATGATTTGTACATAACTACGATTTTATTGTACCTGGATCTAATCTAAATTCTGCTGTCAAATCGTATTTTCGATCGCGTCTCGCTCGTGCATATACATACACATATGTACTTGATTGTCAGTTGTTTTTGCACGAGTTTTTGAGGAGAACGTCGTGCGAAGAAACAAAAACACACGCACACGCGCGTGCTAATAAAATGATCATCGTGCACAGAATGCCGTACGTAAATGCCGTATTTGCGACGAATGCCGATCAAGATGAACGCGCTAATCGAGATATTGTTCGTCCGAGATATTTTTCTCCCTCATTATTTACTCTATCTACCGACGTTTTATTTCCAATTCTTCCACACCGTGATATCGCGCGTTTCAGCATTTCAGTGCGACGTATTTCTCGGTTCAACTCAGAAAAAAATGATATTTTAATAAAATTGCAAGAAACTACTTCTGTTTATTTATTCTTTTTTTTTTTTTGTTTTTTCCACTTTCACCCTCCTCTTTTCCACTTTCCCCTCAACGACAAATCAATCGTGATCGTAACGTCTCCGATCCGAAGAGGAACAACAATCGAAACTTTCACCTCAACATGGACTTTTCGATCGTTTTCGTATTATCGTCATTGCACTCGTTTTCGTAAGATGGCGGTCGTTGCATACAACACACCGGCACTCTCGCGCATCTTGGTTTCCCAGTAAACGCCATGTATTACTGCACGTAAGTTCGACCGCGTCGAGAGGTTATGTGTGTAACAAGCGTTCATGTAAACTCGCGTGAGTCTAACGTTTCGACAAAATATTGAATTTGACACTGAAACGACACTTTGAAACGTCATAAAAATCATGGAAACTGAATCGAAAGAGCTTGTGCCGAGAGATCATTCGACCGATGAAACAAACACACAAGATGAAGTAAACAATGAAGAAACATCATCCGCTACGAACATTTCTGATTCTTCTGATACGTCAAAAGCGAATACCACGCGGCTTACGAATTCGACAAGTGATTTGTCGTCGAAAAATCCCATTGACTTTGACAATGTTGGAACTTTCAAGAAACCAACCAACATAATAATCGGTCTAAAACGTGCTCTGTCGCAGAAAAATTCAAAAATATCCCCTTCGACGGACACCACACGTCTGTCTGGAAATAATAACGCTCGCTGCTCAGATCGCGATATTATCAAGTCTCAACAACACTCGAAAGAAATTTCGCTATATATAGAACCATCTTGGGGAGGAAAGCCACAAGAGAATTATAAAATTGAAGTACTCAAGTCTGGAATGATCATCGAGACGATTTCGCTGGCAGAACAAAGTTTCTACAGTATCGGTCGCTTACCTACCTGTCATTTGACGCTTGTCCATCCTACCATCTCAAGATTTCATGCAATTTTACAGTATAGGTGTCGCCCAGATAATGAAAACGACAAAGGTTTTTACGTGTTCGATTTGGGAAGTACTCACGGTACCTTTTGGAATGGAAACCGTATAAAACCCAACATTTACGTAAGGGTACAAGGAGGTCACATACTCAGATTCGGTTGCAGTCAAAGAAGGTACATTCTACAAGCTCCGCCAGGAGACGAAGAAGAGGAGTCTCCCTGTACTTTGACAGAGTTGAAGGTATTTTTCTGTATTCTGTATTCTTTTACATGTACGAATGTATCGTTTGCTTCTCTTACGTCTGTCGACACGATTATTTTGCAAGTTTAACAACTACAACACGATAAAATGGTTTGGAAATGAATTTCCAGGAAATGAGAGCATCCCAATTGGAAAAACAGCAACACGATAAAGACAAACCCGTCGAAAAACCCATCGACGAAAATGAAAGCGAAGGCATCGATTGGGGAATGGGTGAAGACGCGGATGAAGAAACAGACCTACAGGAAAATCCCTATGCTTCTATCACAGACGACGACTTGGTTCTAGAGGATCCTAAAAAGACTCTCAGAGGATGGTTCGAAAGAGAAGGATACGACCTTCATTATCAAGCAGAGGAAAAGGGATTCGGACAATTTTTGTGTTGGGTGGAGTAAGTGTGTTTCTCCCTTTAAACACGTAGCCAATTAATTTTTGACACTGTCTAAAAAAGAGACACTATCTTCAACGATTAACGATTAACGATTAACGATTAACGATTAACGTTTAATAAGTTAATTATCATTGTGAAAAATCTAGTCTTCCTACCGAAGATGTTGTTGGCCGTTCGATAAGAGCGGAAGCTCTTGTAAGAGGTAAAAAGAAAGAAGCAGTTGTTCAATGCGCGTTGGAAGCCTGCAAAATTTTAGATAAATATGGATTGTTGAGGCAAGCAAATCACGGTAAGAACAACAATCGTAAAATTTTTTGCAATAAACTTTTATAAACTCTCTTCTCGTATCTGTATGCATTGATCTTTATTATTTATTATTTATTCGTTTCGTTTCGTTTCGTTTCGTTTCGTTTCGATCAATGATTCCGAGCATGAATTCATCTTGCGATTGCATATATATTTATATACAAATATACATACACGTATGTGTACATCATAGAAGCGAGAAAAAGGAAAACGCGAAATTGGGAAGCAGAAGATTATTACGATTCGGACGAAGATAATTTTTTGGATAGGACAGGATCCGTAGAAAAGAAGCGTGAACAGAGGATGAGATTAGCCGGAAAGTTGGAAGAAAAGACAGAGACATACGATTCCTTGGTAAGCCGAAGCAACTGCTTTGTTGAAATTTCCCGAATTCGAATCGAACGTGCGTTAAATAAAAATCCGTTTCAGCTGAAAAAGCATAAGCAAGTTACCGAACGAATATCACATTTGTCAACTTCGATTGAAAATTGGCAAAATGCGACTAACGCGAAGGACGATGCGACCGAAGAGGATGCGTTGGATGCTTTTATGTCGAGCTTAAGTTCGTCCGCGTTGACTAAAAGTGACGTTGCTAAGATGAAGTTGGAACTGCAAAATCTCCGAAAAGAAGAGACAGGTTTGCTTAAATTATTAAACCTGATACAACCAGTAAATCTACCAGCTCTTTCCTACCGCGATACTACGGATAGTAGTCAAACTATTACTACCAAAGGTGAAACAGCTGTGGATCATACGCAAAATACATCAGTTGAAACAAAAAAAATTCACAGTCCGTTACCTAGTCAGAAAAAAGTGAGCGTATATTTACTTTGCTCGCGTACTCTTACACTCTGTTCACAATATCCTACCAATTTCATGAAATTCTATTTACACAGGAGGAACAAATGAATCAACATGCGGTCACAAGCAGCAAATTATTGGAATCGAATGCCATTTCCAACACCGCGGTAGAGACAGAAGCTACAGAGGAAATGGACAGCGACGACAATGACGAGTTAATCTCGAATACGCTCGATGACAAAAATAACGTCGAATCGCAAAGTTCCGATAGTGCAGCAACTGTTGCTGCTAAAGACGAATCTTTCGAGAAACACGAGGAGCAACAAGAGCCTGAAATTCAAACGATGACGAAGAAGCCTCGACTGGAACAAACGAAAGAAATGCATTGCGACGAGGACGTACACGCTGATAATTACTCAACTTGGGTTCCACCATCGGATCAAGCAGGCGACGGGAAAACGAGTCTCAACGAAAAATATGGCTATTAAGATAAAACTGTTCTCGCAACAGACTAGAACAATCGTCGACCTTTTCGAAACACAGTTTTACCGCATAACGTACGATGTAAATATACTGTATTGTACGATTTACTCATTTGTCATACGATATAGATACGGCACTATACATAATATATGTACGTGTACAAACACATTTATATCGTATCGATTTATCGTTTGATTTTATAAATTTATCTTTAGGGAATTTATAATTTATCGAGTCTTTATGTACGATTTATTTGAAAGTTAATGCCAGAATAAATCGCCTATATATTATCGTAATTAAAAAAGAAAAAAAAAATTTATGAACTATATACAGTTGATCGATCTGCGATGGTTGTTTTCTTCTTTTCGGAGGAATCGATAAAAATGA